GCATCTTTCAAATATTCATAGCCCCTGGGTCAGGGGTTCTGGCGTTAGGGTGGGATCTATTGTTATATACTGTATGGGGGATTAATTTCACAGGTTGTAATTTTTACGTTTTCCTCTCTTCTTACACGATCGCGGTTTTTTGAATTCGCGGAATTGGTATATAATAAAAGTTACCTCCCTTGTCTATAGCGACATTAATCAGCGTTATATATCCACTTCACGAACAACAGTGTAGGTTTATATAAAATAGTTAGATTTAATAATTAATTGACGATTAATTAAAACAAGTGCAGTTATTAAAAGTCCTCGACTATAAACGTCGAATGACTTTCCTATATGCTATTATGATGAGTGCATGTACACCCCAAGATCTTTCCGAAAGGATAATACACCGTGGCGAAAAACAACTGGACGGTAATAAATGTGTTAATGTATGTCAACGAAATAATAGCTTTCAACATCTTCAGCAAGTTCGATTGGTATTTGAATGATTTTTTTAAGAAACCATAATGTCGATTAAAACTAACAGTAGGTAAAAATACTCGTGGTAACATTAGTTACGCACGGGTAATCAAAACCCATGACCCACGTGTTTTGATTGATGAAACGTAGCGTTGGCTATTAAAACAGCTTTTTAACAAATACAGGTTTTTATCTGCTGATTTGAATTAAAATAAAGCGTGATAATTAAAATAATTGAATGACAAGTACTACTCGTAATTACTGAAATGACCATGTACTGCACGTATACCATTCGTAGTCTATTCTCAAATTTACAAATAAAACATGGAGGTTTGTGAAAACTTGTTCACTGTTTCTTGAATTCACGGATTTATTAACACCGTGAATATAGCGAATATTAACACCGCGAGTTATTTTCCCCCTATACAGTAGAGAAAGTGCATTACTTCTTTGAAATCTTCTCCCCTGCTCCTGGGTATTATTTAAACAAACTAGGAGCATAATTATGATATAGCATAATAATTAGGCAAGGATGCCTCTTCCAAAATTGTGAATTGCATGGCCCCTTGGTCAGGGGTTCTGGTGTTACGATGGGGCTCTATTGATTATATTAGTCAAAATATATTTATTCTTTGAAAATCATCTCTGCTCCTGGGTATTATTTAACCTAAGTGCATAATTATGATAAGCAAGGATGCCTCTTTCAAAATTGTGAAATTCATGTTCCCTGGGTCAGGGGTTCTGGTGAAAGGGGGGGGGGGCTCTATTGATTATATAGTGAAAAAGCATAATTTCTTTGAAAATATTCTTCTCTGCTCCGGATCCTGGTTACAAAGCAAAGAAACTAAGATAATAGTTATAATGAGCAAGAGTGCTTCTTCCAGAATTGTGAGTTTCATGGCAACTGGGTCAGGGGTTCTGGCGTGAGGACAGGGCTCTATTGATTACATAGTAAAAATGTTTTAAAGACCCAATTTTTTTACCGTACGGTTACCTGAGGAGAGGGAGTGGTCTTAGTTGTAACTGGCGTTATTTACCTGGAGAGCCCCAATACTCAAGATGTCAGTAATCTCTATACACATTGTAGTACACAGGAAGTCTGTCTTTGGTAATCAGGATTAACATTACGCGTTTTTGTCTAATTTTGAGAAAAACTATTGTAAATAATTTATATACTTTAATATAAAATTGGTTAACTTAACGTTTTCATTGATATCTTTTGAAGGAAAAAAAATTTAAAATGTCTTCTTTTTTATAAGGGAAAAAAGTAAAATAAAAATAAAATCACGAGTGAAAACTACAAAGCAATCATATCAATATTTTTCAATCGTCAGAAAAAGAAATCATCATTCAATAAGTGTAAATATTGAAATAAAGAGATTTCATTTATCGTATGTACCATAGCCAGAATATTATTTTTCTGACCAACAATCGTGTCCAAAGTATTCACTACTGCAATTTCCGGTGTCCGTGTTTTACGCCCTGTTCACAGAATTGAATTGTTTGTAGACTTTTTAAAAAAAAGATTGATCATTCGTTTGTTTCCTTCACCCCTTTCAATATACGAATATATACGTTAGAGGAAATTCGAACAATGATTGTGACATTTCATCCACCGAATGGTGTAGATTGATTTATATTTTATAATCAGTTTGTCTTTAATAACAATTTTTGCTAAAAATAGAACGGCACTTCCAAATTGCAATTTAAAACAAAACCTCGAATATCCGCTATAGTTTTTCTTCGGAAAGTTCTACAGTTGAGTTATCTTGGACGTCATATCGCTTACAAGTACCAAACAACAATGGAGATTGAAAAAAATAAATCATAAAGTCAATGTTTAATTATCTACTCTCAATTATTTTTTGAAACATAACCACAAAACAATATTATAGCGATTTGATTTTTTTACCAGATTGTAGGCCTATACATACAAAGCGACTATTCATGCGGTACATGAAAGCGTTTTACGCGTGACCAGGTACATGTAATTGTTTCCAAAACATGCAAATTCAGATTAACAGGTATCACAGGGAGCTAGTCTGTCAATCAAATCAGTAGCAATTGTTTTTTTTAACGATTGACAGGCGGTATATTATTGACCTCGAATTAGGTAAATTGGGGGGGGGGGGCGTTAACGTAAAATATTATTAAATAATTCTGTCTGCACCTTGGTGTTAAGAAGGTATACAAAGTGCATGGTTATGATGATCAAGGGTGCATCTTACAAAATTTCTAAAACTTTTGTTCTCAGGGTCAGGGGTTCTGGTGTTTCTTTGGGGAGGGGGGGGGGGGTATTGATAATATAGTGAAAATGTGTTAATTCTTTGAAAACTTCAATTTCTTTAATTTAAAGACCCTGGGTCATGGGTTCTGGAAAAATAGGTCAAAAGTCAAGGATTAAGAGGTAAGTAATCATGGTAATTTACAAAAGCCATACTAGCTGTCAAGCAATATATACTGAATAAAATTATGTGCAAGATATCTAATCCATATCTCTTACAGTTCTTGAGATAAAGGATGACCGACGGACAGACAGATCGGGTAAATTGATCCTTAAGTGCAGCTCTGCTCTGCAGGCGACACAAAAATGCAGCATTGTGATACTTTTCTTAAGACAGATATACCACCAAAATGCTTAGACTTCTGATTTCTTAAAAAGTTTTGAAATTTACGATGTCAGAAGTTAACGTTTTCAATCGTTCCAACAGTAACGTTGCTGTTGTATGGTTGCATTTCGTTGCAAAACTGTAGTCAAATCAACAAGAACGTTTTTGTTACAACGTATTCATAATAACTTTTTATGCTGTTTCTCAATGGAGGTTAATAAAACAAAAGATCATTTTAACTGTTTTTGAAAATATTACAAAACATTTTTTAAAAAAATTAAAAATATCGCAATACGAAATTCCCAACCGATACCCAGCTCCATTATTGAATTATCACAAAACCCATATTTACTTAACATGTCTGGTGATAATCTGATTTGCTATATATAGAAAACCTCTTTTAGATTGATTGATTGTATATTGTATATAGAATTTCCACTCATACAGAGACGTCACCAAATTTAGACCTTTACTCAGCACTCAGGGCCATTGAGCAATAGGTTTCTTTATCGTGCCAACGCATACCGTGACACGGGGCCTCGGTTTTTAAGGTCTCATCCGAATGACCCGCAACTTTCACTTCAAAGTGCCAAGCGCTTGGCAAAGGAACAGTTTTTTTTTTTTTTTATCGACTTAGGTCACTCGCGGCCGTGATTCGAACACACGACCTTCCGACCACGGAGCGAGCGCTCTACCGACTGAGCTACCGTGACGGTAACCTCTTATAGAATAAGAACAGAAAAGCTTTCACGTTCGCTTTGTGATAGGGAGCCCCGAGTTCGATTCTCGTTCGCTGTGCTGCGTTTATGTTTTAACTTGAAGCTCTTCACCGGTGTATGCATGGTGACGTCTTTATACGAGTTAAGAAAGAGGCGTCTTTGCTCATCATTACCACGCATCTAATTTAAAGGGAAGAGAGGACATATGTGATCATTAGAGTCACGCTCTTACATCAGAAGCCCCGAAATGGGACCAAAAATATCACAATTTAGGAAAAGGCACTTCTTTCAACATCACCACGCAGCTAGTTTATCTGCCATATATCTAGGAGAGAGAGGAAATTTTTACAGTATGATCATAAAAGACCCACTCTTTTTTTATAATTAGAACCCTTGATCCTGGGACCATGAATTTTACAATTTTGGTAGAGTGCTCAATGCTTTATGCTTGATGTCCAGAGGTAAAGAGGATTTTTTTTTTGAAATTGCACTAATTTTGATGGTTTTAGACTCTCCCCTCATGTTCCAAGGGAGCAGGGACCATGAAATTAGCATTTTGTACCCCTTCATGCATTGATGGTACAGGATAAAATTGGTTAAAATTCTTTCAGCGGTCCAAGAGAAGAAGCTGAAATAGTTTGAAAGTTTACGAACGATGCACGTCGCTCGAAAGACGTTGGGCGACGACAGACAAAACCAGATAGAAATACATACATACGTATATTTTATATATATATACATATATATATATGATATATATATATATATATATATATATATATATATATATATATATATATATATATATATATATATATTCATGCATTTATATACTTCTCCAATAATATATATTTGACCAGCCATGACACTTTGGGTCCAAATGAGGGATTTTTCAAAAATGAGATTTTTGCTTTATATTATGTGTCCAAATATGCTACAATGAAGTTTTACTCTCATAGGCATACTATTTTTAGAAATATGACGTCACAAAGACGGTCACATTAAATTTAAAGCAATAAGTGCAAAATTCTTTGTTATACAGAGTAATCACATGTTTTATTCAAATAATAGGTTGATATTGGAAGACAAAAACATTAAAAGATGAACAGATCAGGCACTGATAATAGCAAATATCATATCTTGATGAAAGAGTAGGAAGTAGGAAGATCATTGAACAACTAGTGTCTACAATTTGATTAATTGTGTCCAGTCACACTAACTGTGGAACGTGGCCATTCCTGGAAGATTTGGGTACACTGGCAGCAATTTCCTCTAATGTTTCAACACTTGAGTGCCTCCATTTAACTTTCCATAATCCAAAATGCCAGTCTGGGTTGAACTTTGTATGACCAGCTTCCATCATCGAAAATTCAACTGAGTCATGAAATCCAACCAATACTCCCCAAAGACTATACCTGTACAAATAATTCCAAATTACAAATAATAAGCCCGGGATTGCATGATGTACTAAATTTATTAATATAAACTAAACTAAGTATATAGACTTAGCCAGATGTGTTTCTTTAAGGTATAAGTAAATTTTAGATATAACCTTCACCATTCAACACAATACAGTTATATATATACTTAATTGTTATTCTAATTTGAATGTATATTTTTAATTTCTAAAAGGTATTTATCATATTTAATTTATAGATAATGTTAACTTCCTTCTAAAATTTCAAAATTTTACTTTTTTTCCATCTGTAAATATTTACCCTATGACTGCATTGTTCTTGTTTTGTCCACTGCAATTATCCATGTGAAGTTTTACATCAACTTCTCCAAGACCATGATATATGAAATGGTGATGCAACATACTGGTCACAATATTTGCTCCTTTATTTGTATGTTGAGCTTCATCCACAAGATAAAATATCTGAGTACCTACCAGCATATATTTCTTGTTAGATTTTACATAATAACTACAGCTGTATATTTTCAATATGGATTCCAGAATTAATGTTTTGTCATAAGCAAATGACAAATAAAATTTTAATTAAATAAAATATACATTCTAAGCAAATAATAAAATCAAACTATTACATAAGATTATACATATACCTGATCCCTCACAGCAAATGCCAAAGCACTGACATTTTCTTGGTGTTTTAGCGAGGGTAATGCACCTGTTGTGCATAATCAAACTGTAATGAAACTCAGCCCGCAAGGTACAAGGTTGCTGGCCTAAGAAACAGAAAAGAATGACATCAAAAACTACTTGGTAATGACTTCATTAAAAGGTACATTGGAGGGGAAATATTTATGAAGTTGAATTCAATATAAACTTGTAAGAGTTAGAATAATAATTGCATGCTCAATATGCCTCGGATCCCAAATAAATCTCTTAGACAGTAATACATGTACGATGTAATATTAGAGCATTTATTTTATTTTCCCTGAAAATAATCTCGATATAACTGATCATACTTTGTTAGCACAGATCCCAAATAAATCTGTTAGACGGTAATACGATGTAATATTAGAGCATTCATTTTATTTTCCCCGAAAATAATCTCGATATAACTGATCACACTTTGTAAATGTCGAATGTCGGCCCGATTAACATTTTATGTTGAGACAAAATATTGAGTTGGTTTTTAAGTCCCTACACAGTTACACACACTGAACATAATATCAATATCACCAGTGGAGGATTTAAGCCCCCCCCCCCCTCCCTTCCACTGAAATTGTCAAAGCGTAAATCATAGTTTCGTCGAGAAAATGTAAAAATGTCTAATCGGTAGACCTCATTTTTACCTTATCAAATTTCCAGATTCCAGGAGCTTCCGGGGGCTTCGTTGCCATGGGCCCTCACCAGGGCTTCGCCCTGGACCCACTGGGGGCCTCAAGGTGGCCATCAGACCCCCTGCCTACTTTTTGCCCCCTTCCCCCACTTCAATTCCTGGATCCGCGCCTGAACACTGTCATTATTGATGCACTGTTGGAGCGTAACCTGGACTGGAACCTGGAATTTCATATCAGTGTCCCCCAGGAAATCACCCTTGGCTATATGAACCAGGTTTTTTATGTTACTGCCATCGAGAAGATACCCTATAGAAGTTTCAATAAACAATGCTGTTCAAATGTATAGTATGATCAAGATAATCTGCGTTGAAAGACAAAAATATGGTCACCCTCTCGTTATTAATCTCATATCTTTGGGGTATTTAAAAGAATGAACAAGTTTGACATTCTGAAGGACCTCAACCCCATATAGTTTACAACATACCTACACACTCGATAAAATAATCATTACCTGCTAAAAATAATTTCTATACTATCAATTTGTTTATAATGTATTAACTTTAATAAAAAAGTACAAACTGTTAGAATAACATTGGTGGCTTAGTTTGCGTATCATAAATCACTCACCTTTCCGCGTGGTAAACTGTGTAGTAACTGTTGTATACATGTAAAATCTAATTAATGCGTGATAATTTATTTTCCCTGTCTTTCCTTTCTTGCGCCGCAATGTTTAATACTTTGTTTAAGGACAGATGATACAAACAAACAAGAGGCCCAAGGGCCTTAGCGGTCACCTGAGTATAATATAACAATTTAGAGTATAAAATAAACTGATAGATGAAGCTTTATTGCCTATAAGCAAAGCAAGGGAAATATGATGATCAGGATCAATGAAATAAGTCTAGTATTCAATAATAACTCAAAAATTAAAGCAATATGAACTGCATTTTTACGTTCTTTTTTTTTTTTGTCATTGAAATAGTTAATTACAATTTTGCAACAAAAAATTCTGAGAAAGTTGCAGCTCATATTGCTTTAAGTTTTAATCTGCCCCCATTTATCACTATCACCATGCAGACTATTAAAAAACTATTAGTGCTTCTTTATTATTTTTAAACCCTATATCGTAACCTCTCACATTGGCCTCTTGGTCTTGGAAGAACATTTAATAAGATAAGTTATTTTTGTCGTATTTTTATTTATCTATTATTTACAAGTCTATCTGATCATCAGAACTTTGAAAGTACTTTTTGTATTATGCAATAAAATTACTTGCATAATTCTCTTACTTTTTCAACTTTTCAAATATATTTATTTACAGTGATCAATTATCAAAAGTGAATGGCAAAGAGGAATAACTTCTCTCAGTAGAATACCAATTAATAGAGCCCTGGCCAGGACCAGAACACTTGACCAAATGGTCTAGATGTTCAAAAATCTGGTAAAAATATCCTTGCTTTTTTGCTTTCGATATGCCAAGGAGCAGAGAGGAATTTCAAAGAAATAATGCATTTTCACTACAAATTCAACACGGCCTTACCTTAGCACCAAAACCCATGACCAGGGGTCATGAATTTTACTAATTTGGAAGAGGTATCCTCTTCATAACTATTCTCTTAGTTGAAGATTTTCACAAAAGTAACGCATTTTCACTATTGTTATAAATAGACCCCCCACCCCACCCCACCTCCCCGAGAAACACCAAAACTCCTGACCCTGGGATTACAAATTTTAATAATTTTGTAAGAAGCAACATTGTTCACATAACTATGAACTTTGTTCATCTGCTCAACACTAAGGAGCAGACAGGATCATTTAACAGAATTTAATTTATATATATATATATATATATATATATATATATATATATATATATATATATATATATATTTCATATATAAATATATATATTTTCACTATATATATTATCAATAGAGCCTCTCCCTTATACCAGATCATCTGACCCAGGGGGCATGAAACTCACAATTCTGGAAGAAACACTTGCACATCATAACTATACATTTAGTTTCTTTGCTTTTTAACCAGAAGCAGAAAAGGATATTTTCAAAGATATTATGCCTTTTTACTATATCATCAACAGAGCCCCCCCCCCCCTTACGTTCAACAGAACCTTCAACCCTGGGGCCATGAATTTCACAATTTTGGAAGAAGCATCTTTGCTTATCATAACCATGCACTTAGTTTGTTTAAATAATACCCAGGAGTAGAGTAGAAGATTTTCAAAGAATTAATGCATTTCACTATATGATCAATAGAGCCCTGCCGTAACACCAGGACCCCTGACACAGGGGCCATGAAATTCGCAATTTTAGAAGAGACACCCTTGCCCATCATAACTTTGTATTTAGTTAGTTTGTTTAACACCCAGAAGAAGAGATAATATTTTGAAAGAAATAATGCACTTTCACTACATGATCTATATAGCCCCGCCCTAGCCCCAGATTTCCTGACCCTGGGGCCATGAATTTCAAAATTTTGGTAGAGGGCTCAATGCTTATTACAATCATGCCAACAGTTACACTGCTTGATGTCCAGGAGTAAAAAAGAAGACTTTCAAATATTGCATTAATTTTGGTGGTTTTAGCCCCACCCGTATGACTTTAGGAAGACAGGGACCATGAAATTCACAATTTTTGTTTCCCTTTAGACAAAGATGCTATATGCCAAAATTGAAATTGGTTTGGCGGTTCCAAAGAAGTTGAAAATGTTCAAATGTTAACGCACAACGGACGATGCACGACGACAGACAAAAACGGATAGCAGTATAGGTCGCCAAAATGACTCAGGTGACCTAAAAATATGATGTCTGGATTGATATATATTTTTAGACCAATTTTGATTGTAAATAATGCAAATATTAAATTTCTAAAATATTAAGAAAATGTTAACTTTCTATGATGTTCTTTTTTGCCGTCACCATTATAAATCTTTAACTTTTTTTTTTCACTTTGTAGGACTTTATTGTGAAACCTTGAATGAAAAATTAAAATCTATGCGGTTAGAATTATTCATTTTACTTATATAAACATGTTTAAATGTTATTTTCATGATTTTTGAAAAAAAGCTGTTTATATCATTTTTCCTCAATTTGTCAATGAATTAATGAATCTTATGTAAATTTACTGTCCAAATAAGTTTAAGAGATTGAAGCGTCTTTTAACATTTCTATGATTAACAACAGTGTTTATTTAAAAATATTTTATTGTTTTGGGGTTTAGGTAATTCTATATTCTAATACATGAATATACATCTTGTTTGCATGAAATATGGAGATAACGAGCAGTCCATTCCAACAATACAAATCAGGAGCAAAGCAAACACGGACCTCTAAAACATAAGAGGTGGGATCAGGTGCCATGGAGGATTGAGCATCCCTTGCCGACCGTTCACACCTGCCGACTGCTCCTTGTCATGATCGGGAAAAATCCGTAGACAATTCAGTGTGTAAATAATGGCCTAACAATTTGTTTGAAAAAGGTCAGTTAGTATTTGACTTAAGGACCCTCTCTACACTAAACAAAAATGTTTTTGGACATTGAGAAAATGATATTGTATAAAGGTATAAATATTGAGCTTATTTATATTATTTTCAACTTAGAGTGCCTGGCTTTTACCCCAAGGAAAAATGTTCAAAGTTAAAGTTTTGATGACCAGAAATCACTGTTGTTTACTTAAGTGGGGAAAAAGCATGCAGATGAGGTGTTCAATTAATTCATCTTGGCCTATTAAAATATTAAGAATGCTTAAATTGATTAGAAATTGATGGATAAACTGTAGATTTCAATTTATTTTATTTTAGATCTAATGGCAGGTTACTCCAACTACATAAAAATACCACAGAATCAGAACTCTTTAGTGTGCAGTGTATAGAGGGTTCTTAATGATAGATTGTATTTGCTGACAATGTCATTGTATCAACCATAGATCTTGCAAATGATGACTTCAAACGAAACTGTTTATATTCTTGTTTCATCATTTTGTTTTTCAATAGCTTGCCACGTTTAAGCAATTGTTCGTACGTAGAGCATGCCCTTGCGTATTGAATCAGCTGAGAGACATAAACCCCATATGCAGGTGATTAGGTATATTGCTACATATAAGTAAGGGAAAGTTGAAGTCATCACGTTTATCACAAAGCTTGGTTGTTAGGTTACCATTAACGTTTTTTTCTAGTAAAATATCCAAATATGAAACATGAGTCAGGTTCTGTGGTATCTTTTATTTTAAGCTCACTGGGATACATCGAGTTGACATATGAATGGAAGTAACTATTGTTAATTTATAATACGTCGTCGATATATCTAAATGTCGAGTTGAAGGCAACAACAAGTGCTTTTTTCTCAAGTTTAAGATTTAAGTAAATTCTGCTTCATATGAATACAAAAATAGTTCTGCTTATAACGGGGCGCAATTGGTACCCAGGGGAATTCCGAGAGATTGTTGGAAGACCTGGCCCTCCAAAACTACATATTTGATATTGTCAATCAGAAACTCATCGCCCGCAACGGTTAGAGCGTCTGCTCTAGAGTCGCGGAGTAAGGAGTTGATCCTTACGTCGCGGGTTTGAATCCCACTGTGGGACGTGAAGACCGGTCCTTCGGATGAGACCGTATAAACCGAGGTCCCATGTCTCAGTAGGTGCTGGCACGAAAAAGATCCTTCACTGCTCAATGGCCCTGAGTGCCGTGTATAGGTCAAAATATACAGCTCTCCACCGGCAAGTGGTGGCGTCTCCAAATGAGTAAAAAATTCTCGAGAAGGACGCTAAACAACAAGCAAAAAAATCAATTAGAAATTCAAGCATCTTTTTATGTCTTTCAGAGTACTTGTGTATGGAATCCGGATAGGGCCATGCAGTTCACTATCGCACCATCGACTTAAGGGTCGATGACGCGATAACGATGAAGCGGTGCTGCGATGACGATGAAGCGATAGCGCGATGACGATGATGCGATGGCGCGACAATGCGATGACGATGGTGCGATAGCACGATGGAGCAATAGTGAACATCGCGTCATCGTACCATCGTTATCGTGCCATCGCATTGTCGTGACATCGCATCATCGTCATCGCGCTATAGCACCATTGCTTCATCGTTAACGCACCATCTCATCATCGTCATCGCACTATCGACCCAAACCTCGATGGTGCGATAGTGAATTCGAAGTACATGGCCCTATCCGGATTCCATACTTGTGTGTACAATGGGATTGTTTTTAACAAATTAATGTTGTAAATGACTAATGTCAAGGGTCGCCCGCGTGGGTCGCAGTAGGTGCTGGCACGAAAAAGATCCCTCACTGCTCAATGGCCGTAAGTGCCGAGTATAGGACAAAATTTGCAGCTCTCCACCGGCAAGTGGTGGCGTCTCCATATGAGTGAAAAATTCTCGAGAGGGACGTTAAACAACAAAACAAACAAACAAACAAAACTAATGTCAAGGTAAGTAAATTTACGAGTTCCATTTTTATTGAAAAAGCAGCTGTTACATGTAATGATGTCAAAAAACCTGGACTTTAATTTATCTTGGGGAATGGTTGTATAAAGTGTTGAAAAGTCGTACGTTTTGATGTTATTGATTTTGGTAAAATCTTGTGTTTTCAAATTTTCTAAATGTTCCTTGGAATTTTTAAGTATCCATATCTG